ACATGCCCCCACACACTGGCTGCCCTGGCTTGGGGGAGGGTAAGGCAGTACCTGTCCACTGTTGCTCAATGGCACAGACATGAGCCTCCGTGAACTCCCAGGAATATGCCAGTTTCTTCCACTCGTTGGGCTTCAGATACCGGGAGGCCAGTCGCCAAAGCACCGAGCGGAGCAGCTGCGTTTCCTGCCGATGGTCTTGCTTAAAGGTCAAGTTCTTCCTAGCAGGGTGGCTGGTGTCCCTGCATGAAAGGTGGTCCTGTGGGGCAGATCCCAAAAGTGCAGGAGCCGTCTGGGGCCTGCCTCATGATCTTAGATCCAGGTGGTAGAGCCTGGGAACCTGAATCAGCATGGGCCTGTGGCTTCATATCCATCACCCTGTCTGTGTCTTGCCTTGACCACTGGACACTACACCGTTCCTCCGTCTAGAACTCACCTCCCTGACTTTCAACCCATCACCATAGTCACTCTGCCACCTCCTCCAAAAGCCTCCGGCCAGAGACCTCTCAGTTTTCACATCGTTTCTTTGTCACCCATGAAGTTTACATAGTCAAACCAATTCATTCCTTGGCCAGGATCTCACCAGCACAGAATTGAGTCTGTCTTGTTTCTGTATGTCTGGGTGCTTTCCCATCTCCATGTCCTCACAATCTTAGTGAGGACAGGGCAGAGATGACCACCCACTTAGAGATAGGGTCCCCAGAATCAGTTGAGGGTAGGACTCAAAGCCAGCTCCATACACTGCCAAAGCTTTCCAAAAGGAGAGATGATTGGAGGTGGTACCTTCTCCCATCTGTAGAACCGATCAGCTTTTATGATCATGTCCACCAGGCTGACATGGTTGCTGCGGGCGGCCACTGCCAGGGCTGTTTTTCCTTGCTGCAAAGAAGAGGCAGAGGGACCTGGAGTTCCTACAGAGTGGTGCAGGGCACCTCTAGACTTGCTGTTATTCCATTAGCCATCTCTGGTTTCATCAGGACTAACTGCACTAGAGCTGGGCTGGAGAAACGGCTCCGAGAGTAAGAGCACTTGCCACTCTACCATGAGGACCAGTTTGGATCCCAGCACCCACATTGGGTGGGGTTCACAAATACCTGCAACTCCAGCTCCAGGGAACCTGGCACCTCTCCTGATTACCAAAGATCTGTACACATACTCTTCTGGCCTCCATGGGTAACCAATATGGGAGCACACACACACAAACACACACATATAAAAGCCTAGAGCATTGGTTCTCAACCTTCCTAATGCTGTGACCCCTTAATACAGTTCTGCATGTTGTAGTGACCCCCAAGCATAGGTTGCTACTTCATAACTGTAGTTTTGCTATTGTTATGAATTGTAAAGTAAATGTCTGATATGGTACCCTCTGTGGGGTCCTGACCCAGGTTGAGAACCGCTGGCCTAGAGCTTAGCAAGCTCACCTTTGACATGATGTCCCCACTCTCATTTCTCAGATAAAGAAATCAGAGCGGAGATGGCATGGGCCAGCCTGCCACATCTGCCTACCAACCCCCAGGCACCAGACCCTTTGCTCCAGGCCTCCTATATGGTCAGTCACCTGCAGGGGTCTGCAATGAGATGGGAAGCTGCTCTTTATGTGCAGCCAGCATCCTGGGTTCAGCTCAAAGCAGGGAGTTCCTCCCAAGTCTGGCCTTAATATGGCCCCCAACTCTGACCTTCACCTTTCTGACTGACCTTGCTGAATGACATGCAAGTGCCTGCTTTTCCAATTCCTGTGACCTCTGACCTCATCCCACACCCTCAGCTCTCTTCAGACCTCCAGCCACCCTGAGGCACAACAAACTGGGGAGCTACCCCAAAGTCTGTTGAATATACAGAGAGGAGTTGGGCAGTGTGATGCTGGCTGGTCCTGCTACCCCTGCCGTGTAACATATGACTTACAGAACTAACAGTCTGCTGGAGGAGGGCCTGAAACAGAAAGCAACCACAGCACAAGCCGACGGTTGGGCCACAGCTAAGGGGCAGCAGAGGACAGAGGGTGTCCTGGACACAGATTTTCGAGTTACACAGGAGGTTCTAAGCACTATGAAAGCAGGGGTGAGGCATTGTCTCTTCAGGTGAAAGCTTGAAGGAGGGGCTGCTTAGAGCAGAGGTACCTTATCTTTCAGGCTTAAGTCGACTCCAGCAACGAGGAGCATCTCTGCTACATTCTGCCAGGCATGCTCAGCAGCGAGGTGGAGGGGAGTCTGCTGCCTCTGGAGAGAAGATGGGGGAAAGGAAAGCATGCAGAAAGCCAGGTGTGGTGGCACGCACCTTAAATCCTAGCACTTGAGAGGCAGAGGCAGGCCGAATGTCTGTGAGTTCAAGGCCATCCTGATCTACATAGTGGGTTCCAGGACACCCAGGACTACACAAAGACCCTGTCTCAAAAAAAGACAATAAAATAAATAGGGGCTGGAGAGGTGGCTTGGTGGTTAAGAGCAGGCACTGTTCTTGCAGAAGCTCCTAGTTGAATTCCCAGCACCCACATGGGATAGCACACAGCTGCCTGTAGCTCTAGCTCCAGGAGATCTAATGCTCCCCTGGCCACCCAGGGCGCCTGTACACATGTAGCATATACACACAATTGGCATATACTCACACAGACACTCATGTGTACACACACATACACATAAACACATGAATTTAAAGAGCCAGCAACCTTGGAAAGCTAAAAGGGGAAATTAATTTCTCAACTCCAGGCCATGCTGGGAGACCCCTGGGTCTGAATGGTTTCTACAGTCACTTACAATGTCTGTGGCATCCAGATCACTGTGGGCATCTATGAGGAGCTGGACCAGGCCAGGGAAGTTGTGCCTCACAGCAAGGTGTATAGGAGCAGTGCCCTGCTGTGAAGAGACATGGAGATCAGTCAGTATGTCCCTCCCAGGACTGCAGATTGGAGGTGGGGTGGGATTAACTTGGCCATTGTAGTCTCTCAAACAATACAGGTGACCTGAGGCAGGCACAGCCACAGTGCTTGGAACTAGAGACCTAGAACTGATCCAAAAGGAGGGTAGTACTCTTCATGCCAGGTTAGCTGTCCTGCTATGCCAGCCTTGGGTATATGTACATAGTACATTTAAAAGATTTAAAAGGGAAATGCGTATTTTTGAAATATATATCTCCTTATTTACGTAATGATTTTATACACACACACACACACACATACATATATATAAAAGCAGGCTTAGTAAGGTCAAAATAGTTTACAAGTGGTAGGTAGTACAAGTGCTCAAGGCCAGGTTCTCTCTTTCTCTCTCTTTCTCTCTCTCTTACACATACAACACACACACACACACACACACACACACACACACACACACACACACACACAGAGATCTTTTTTCTTCCTTTGTAGTCTTGGCTGACCTGGAACTTGCTTTGTAGACAAGGCTGGCCTGAAACTCACATAGATCTACCTGCCTCTGCCTCCAGAGTGCTGGGATTATAGGCGTGTGCCACCACCACTCGGCAGCACACAGGTATCTTTATTTCTCCTTTTGTCTCTGTCTCTGTCTGTCTGTCTGTCTGTCTGTCTGTCTGTCTCTCTCTCTCTCTCTCTCACACACACACACACACACACACACTTTCTGAGTACCTTTCTGTCTCCATTTTCTGTCTGTCTTTCACACACACTCTCTTTATTTCTCTTTTTCTCTGTGTGTGCCTCTCTCTGTCTGTCTCTCTCCATTCCCTGTCCCTGTCCCTTTTTCTCCCCACCCTCTGCCCTAGAGCAAACCGATTCATTAAGTAAAACTGGGAAGACTCCCAAGGTAGGAGCATCTGGGTTTTTTGATAACCAATCTGCCTTGACCATGGGATTACACAGTCCCTGGTGATTTCTAATAGGGGAAGAGTTAATACCTGAGCTGGTGAGACAGCTCAGTTGGTGAAGTATGAGGACCTGAGTTCAGATCCCTAGCACCCACATAAAAAACTGTGTGTGGCAGTGCACACCTGTGACCCCAGTGATGGGGGAGAAAAGCCAGACAGACCCTGCTGACCCAAAAAATAAGGTCAAGAGTGACTGAAGAAAACATCTAGTGCTGACCTCTGGCTTCTCCATATACACACACACACACACACACACACACACACACACACACACCAGAGAGACAGAGAATATAACTACGTGGTAAGTGGCTAGATCTACAAAAATTAAAGATTTCCAGGTGCAGGTAGTTCAGCTTGGAGTTCTGTCAAGTTTGGTTTCAACCCTGTTCCTGACAAGCCATCAGAAATGAAATGCCACCATTCCTTTAGTTCCTGCCCCACCCCAACCACACGAAACAGGAAGTGCCTAGCTCTCCCTTCGTGCTTAACTAACACAATTATGGGAGAGTGCAGTGTAGATCTCTTCAGTCCAGGTCCAATACTTACCTGGTCAGCCACATCTGTGCACCCGCCTGCCTCGATGAGTGCCCGGGACACATCCTCAGAGCCACCAAGGGCTGCGTAGTGGAGGCAGCTCAGCTTTTTCTGGAGAGAAACAGGCATCAGGGCACTATTCCAAGGATCTCTCATGTGACAGGCACCAAGACTCATATTCCACTCAAGTCTCATGGCAGTCTCAAGTCTCATCGGCGATTTGCCCAGGCCAAGTGGCTGGGAAAGAGCCCACTGTAGCCCTTACTACAATACCTAAGCCATGGAGAAACCAAGAGCAGAACCCAGGATGACTGGCTTAAAGCCTCTATTCACAGAACATTCAGGAGTCTGACTGACATGACTCAGTAGCTAGGGAGGCCACCGATCTCAGGAGGGCTGGCTACCTGGGTGAGGGCATTGACGTTGCTCCCAGCACTGAGGAGAAGCCTCACACAGTCGGTGTGGGTCCCTTTGGCAGCTGCATGCAAAGCAGTCAGACCCTCCTGAAACACACAGGGAAAGGGATGGAGACTGCAGAAGCCGAAGCCAGACTCGGAGTTAAGGGCACATACCTCTGCTCTGACCCCTGGAGTTCTCGCCTACTAGTGAAGACAAAGGGCTTGCTTACCTGTGGTTTCTGAGCCTACACTGATGGTCTCACTGTGTGGAATGCACGTGACATGCTGACCTCATCAACACCTCTGTCCATGTTCTCCTTGACCTTTAACCCATCTCACCCTCATAATCTAGTCCCTCCTATGTCCTATGTCAAAATTACCTCTGACCATCCAGACAGTGGCAACTTCTCATGGTTTGTTTGTTTAGTGTGTGTGTGTGTGTGTGTTGTGTGTGTGTGTGTGTGTGTTTTGAGACAGGGTAAGCCTTGGCTGTCTTAGAACTTGTTCTATAGATCAGGCTGGCCTCAAATTCAGAGATCCACCTGCCTCTGCCTCCCAAGTGCTGGGATTAAAGGTGTATGCCACCAACGCTGTACTTCTTATGTTTTGACAACCCTGCTCAGCCAGGTCCCTAGGGCTGCTACTCACTTCCTCCTGGTGGGTGTCAGTGTGAGAACATGCCTGCCCTATGTCTCTACCAAGACAAAGTACACTGCACCACAGGCTGGGGGCTCCTCAAAGACAGAGCGCCAGCCAGCGTCTCATCGGTCTGTGTCCGCAGCTGCTGACGCACCATGTTCTGCTCTTCCAGGTCTAGCCCAATGTCCACAAGTCTCTGTAGCACTGATACATGGCCCTGGCTGGCAGCCAGGTGCAGGGCCGTGTTCCCCTCCTGCAGGAAGAAGACTGCTTGAAGGGCTCACAGATGACAGAGTCCCCAAATTTCAGTATGTCACAGAACCGCCACTAGAGTTGCGCTCCACCCCACACCCCACCCCGCTTATTTGACATTAAGTTAAGGCCCAGAGTTACAAAACAAGTCTGACCAGCTTCATGCCTGTCACTACCAAAAGCCACAAACAGGGCATTCTCAAGGCCCAAGTCCTGAACATACTCTTGGTCCTTATGATTCAAGACAGGAGGCATTACTTTAAAAATAAAGTCAGGTCTGGGGATGTAGCTCAGTTTGTAGAGTGCCCAGCATGCACAAAGCCCCTGATTCAATCGCCAGGACTACAAAAACCAGGCATGGCAATAAAAACCTATAAAAACCAGACAAGTCCCAGATCATTTTCTCATACTCATACATACTGAGCTTGAAGTCAGCCTGAACTATACAAGACTGCCTTAAAAAAAAAAAAAAAAAAGCTGGGAGAGGGGGGAGTAGGGGAGAAAGAGAGAGAAAAAAAGAGAGATTTCATCTTGGGACACTCACACCCCACCAGCTGGCCCATATGCACTAACATGCCCACTAGAAGAACATCAGACACACGACACATTCTGGCCTTTAGGGGCCTTTCCCCCCAGCAGAACTCCAGTCAGAGGTGGACTGTAGGAGGCTGAAGAGATGGCCCAGAGGTTAAGAGCACTTGCTCTTCCAGAGGACCTGGGTTCAATTCCCAGCACCTATATGGTGGCTCACAACTGTCTGACACGTCTTCTCACCTCTGAAGTCACCAAGCCTGCACATGGCACACATATATTTAGGGAAAACATTCAAACACATAAAAAAAAACCTGAAAAAGGCTAGGTGATGGTGGTACACACCTTAAATCCCAGTACTCAGGAGGCAGAGGCAGGCAGATCTCTGTGAGTTCCAGGACAGGCTCCAAAGCTACACAGAGAAACTCTGTCTCAAAAGAAAAACCTGTCTCAAAAAAAAAAAAAAAAAAAAAAAAAACCCAAAATCTGAAAAAGGGTAGGCTCTAGGATGTGCCAGGACCAAGAAGGTGCAGGGAGTGTTGCAGCCTGGTCAGGGGTTTTAGTGTGCCTATCAGTCACAGTACCTTGTCTTTGACACTATGGTCACATCCAGAGCCCACGAGGAAGTCCAGAGCATCCAGCTGTCCATGCTCGGCAGCTCTGTGAAATGCTGTTCTTCCCAGCTGACCAGACAGTGAGAGACGGTGAGTCTCCTCATGCTGTCAGTGCACACACCTACCCTGCCCGCTGGCCTGGGCTTTCCTCACCTCTCAGTACTTACAGCGGTCTCTCCTACCCCATTCCCCATGCCACTCAGCCCCAGGTTCTGAACAGCTGCCCCTCCTTCAGTGGCTCCCTGCTGCCATAAAGAGGGAGTCCTCGGGCTTGAGACATCTCCATGGGGACCCCCAGCCCCTTTGACTTCCCCTCTCATGAGTCCAGTTGGCCAGAAATCACACGCTCAGAGCTATTTCCTGCCTTTCAAGTTCCAAGGATGCTTTCTACCCTTTCAATTACTCTTCCTCCCTAACTGCCCACTTCTCCAGGAAGCAGGAAACAGGCTCCTTTCTCTAACCTGTCTAGTCCTTGATGGAAGGGAGAGTCATCCATGTTCTGTTTTCATCCTGCCCGTCATGTACCTGCCATGTCCCCTCCAGGGACACTCAAGGTAGAATTCGGTTTTCCTAGCTGATCAAAGAATGCACTCCAGGTGTGCAGCATCCCTACTAGAGCCTGAGCCAATAGGACACATCCAATAGTGCCCCAACTAACAGTATACACCCAGTGAAGTCCTAGCCAATGGGAGAGTTAAATAGCTATGCATGGGTCTTACCTTGTCTGCATGGTCCAAGGCCACATCCTCCAGGTCTTCCATGACGAAGGCCAGCACAGACATGTGTCCTTTCTGAGCCGCACAGTGCAGTAAGGTCAGGCCATCCTGGAAACAAGCCCAAGGGGGCCCTTGGAGTCTGTGAAGGGCCCCTCCTCATATACTACCTGTCTCCCAGCACACAATGCTGTCAATGATAAACAGAGCCCATGCATGACCCTGCAAGGCAGCCAACAGTCAGAATGCCAGAAGCCAAAAGCCTGGCTCCATGCTCATCAGCTCTGGTTTGGGACCAGTTGCCTTCACCTCTCTGAGTCTGCATTTACACACAGACTGCTTCAGTGCAAGTCAGAAGAGTACAGGAAAAATATTATGTGTCTCTAGCTGGCCTGGAACTCACCATGTAGACCATGCTGGCCTCAAACTCAAAGAGATCCTCCTGCCTCTGCCTCCAGAGTGCTGGGATTAAAGGTTTTCATCACCATGTCATCAGACAGGAAACATTTTATAAACAGAAAAGTGATTCCAAATTGTAAGGTCACACAGCACTTGCAGTCCTAAGAACCTCCCACAGAGCAATATGTGAGAGTTCTAGGTGCCAACCTCCTTCGTACAGCTGCAAATGAAGAAGCCAAACAGGGCTGGAGAGATGGCTCAGCAGTTTAAAGCAGGCTTTTCTTCTAGAAGACCCAGGTTCAGTTCCCAGCACCCACATCAAATGGCTCACACATCCTTATTAACTCTAGTTCCAAGGGATCTGATATCCTCTGGCCTTAAATGCATGTGATTCCACTAATTCTCTCTCTCTCTCTCTCTCTCTCTCTCACACACACACACACACACACACACACACACACACGTAAAAGTGCATAAAAAATGAAGCCAGCAACTGACTGGTCAGTGTAAGGTCACTAAGACCCAACCTCCCAGGAAGAACAAAGGCCAGTTGTACAATGCTGGATCTGAAGTCAAGAGGCCTTTGAGAGGGAGGTGGAGGTAGGAAGAGGTCTCTTGAGTGATACTTAAATGAAGGAGACTAGCAAAGGACAAATGACCCAGAACACCCACCCCTGTCTGCATTAAGGTTGGAGTCCTTGGAGCACTGTTTGCCTTTTTATTTATTTGTTTGTTTATTATAATTAATGAGTAACATTTTTAAATGATTTGTTTATTTTTATTTTGTGTTCATTGGTGTTTTGCCTGCATGCATATCTGTGCGAGGGTGTTGGATCCTGGAGTTACAGACAGTTGTGAGCTGCCATGTGGGTGCTGGGAATTAAAGTTGGGTCCTCTGGAAGAGCAGTCAGTGCTCTTAATCACTGAGCCATCTCTCTTGCCCCGGTTTGTATTTTTAAAAAATATTTCCAGAGATGGAGAGATGGCTCAGCAGTTAAGAGCACTTGTTGCTCTTGTAGAGGACCCAGGTTCCCAGTACCCACATGGTGGGTCATAGCCATTTATAACCCCAGAGGATCCAATAGGCACACATGTGGTACACATTCATTCATGCAGGCAAAACAGTCACACACATAAAGCAAAGATTTTTTAAGAAATGTGTGGGGGCTGGAGAGATGGCTCAGAGATTAAGAGCACTGACTGCTCTTCCAGAGGTCCTGAGTTCAATTCCCAGCAACCACATGGTGGCTCACAACCATACGTTATGAGATCTGGTGCCCTCTTCTGGTGTGCAGATATACATGGAAGCAGAATGTTGTATACATAATAAATAAATAAAATCTTAAAAAAAAAAACAGAAAGGAAGGAGGAAAGAAAGAAAGAAAGAAAGAAAGAAAGAAAGAAAGAAAGAAAGAAATGTGTGTATACGTGTGCTCTGCTCCACCCTTCCTTCCGTCAAAGGCCAGAAGAGGGCATCAGATCCTCCTGGATCTGAAGTTACAGGTTTAGTATGAGCTTGGTTCAAGAAGTGCTAGAACCATGGAGCCATCTCTCGGGCCCCTAGAGCACTGTTTTTCAGTGCTCACCATCCACTGCTGCACCCTAAGAATCAGCAGAACACTGCTGGTCTACATTTTGATGGCCGTCAGTCAGATCTCAGTGAGTCTAAATTTTAGGTCTGTGGCTTTCAGTGTATGTAAACTCTAGTTAATGATAATCATGCTGAAGTATTTGGAGGGAAATAAATAGCTGCTTGAAATTTACATTGTACCATATGTATATATGGAATATATACATATATATGGAATATATATATTTCAAAAAGTGCATCAGTGAGAAATTAATCCAATTAAAAAATACTTTAGAAAAAGGCTAGGTATGACATATGACTATAGTCTTCCTCAATACTCAAGGGGGTGAGTGAGGAGGATCACTTGAGACCAGGAGTTAAGGGCTAGTCTGGGCAATGCAGCAAGATCCCCCTCTCAATAAACAGGCAAGACTAGACTCAAATTTGCTGTGCACCCAAGAATGACCTTGAACTTATTTTTTTTCATTTTTTTATTTTTATTTTTTAGACCTTGAACTTCTTATCCTTCTGCCTCCACCACCAGAGTGCCCACTATGCTTAATTTATGTGATATTGGGGATCAAACCCAGGGTCTTGTATTACTAGGAAAGTATTCTTTTTGTTTGTTTGTTTGTTTGTTTGTTTGTTTTTCGAGACAGGGTTTCTCTGTGTAGCTTTGGAGCCTATCCTGGCACTCGCTCTGGAAACCAGGCTGGCCTCGAACTCACAGAGATCCGCCCCAGGCCCGTTCTTACTATATTTTGTTGCCACATAGGAGTCCAGGCTGGCTGGTGACATGATCCCAGATGTCCCAACCCTCCCTGCAGAGGCTCCAGATGCACTACAGTCCAGTCAGCCCAAGCCTACTTATCGCATGGGTTAACCTGGGCAAAACCAGAGGGATGGAGCTATGAACAACATCAGCAAGGCACTGAGGAGGCAGAGGCAGGAGGATAACAAATTCAAGAACATGTAGGGTTATTAGTGAGCCCCTGCCTCAAATTGAAGAAAGAAAAGAATCCCAGGTACACTGACTGACACCTATAATCAACTTAGGAGGCTGAAGCAGGGGGATTGCCTTGAGGCCACACTGTGGGTTCCAGGTGAGCCTGGGTAAGACCTTAGCCAAACAAGCAAAAGAAGACAAAAGGCGGGAGGTTAGAAGGGGGAAGGAGGAAATAAAGAAAAAGGGTCAGTCCTAGTTATTTTAACTAAAGTTCAGTTATACTAGCCACTAAACTTTAGAGTGTTTTTCAGGATGGTAAAATGGGAGATCTAAGTGGAATCCATCACTCAGAACTGTAATCCCCATATAACACACACACACACACACACACACACACACACACACACAGACAGACAGACACACCACCACCACCACCACCACCACCACCACCAAGGCAAGGTTCATTCACAGCAATCTCTCTATGGTAAATCTATCAAGACAGCTACCAGGTTCCCCAGGACTATTTAGCCCTAGACAAGAGGACCTTGAGTTTGAATCTCAGTGTCTTCTCAAGGTGCTCTCCAGAAAACCCTCACTCAGGCTCAGATCCTATGACCCGTTGACACAGCAGCATCTTTGTGAGCACTGTCAGACATGCCGGCCACTGCTAAACTCCTTCCTGGTTTGTTTGCTTGTTTGTTTTACCTTTAACCTAGGGTCTCATGTGTGCTAGGCTAGTGCTTTGCCACTGAGCCACGTCCTCAGCCTCTAGGTTCCCTCTGGCAATTGGTAAAGCCTATGAACCTTGCTCAGAGTATCATTTACTTAAATATATACAATAAATTACACAGGAAATGTTTAAATCAAGTATGCAGGCTTACAACTATACATTAGTTTCCTATTGCTGCTATAGCAAATCACTGTAAACCTCCTCGTGGTTCAAAACTGGGGGTGGTGGTGGTGGTGGTGGTGGTGGTGGTGGTGGTGGTGGCGGCACACATCTTTAATGACAACACTCAGGAGGCAGAGACAGCACATCTCTGTCAGTTTGAGGCCTGCCTGATCTACAGAGTGAGTTCCAGGCCAGTCAGGGCTACCCTGTCTCAGAAACAAACCAGAAAAAAAAATAACAAACAAACAAACAAAACCAACATTGCCTGTCAGGTCCAAAAGAAACTTGGGACAAATGGCAAACTGTGCCACTTACTAGCACACCAAAGGCCTTGCTGACCTCCAGATTCTCTCAGCATTGCAAGTCCTGTTACAGAGTCCATGCTGGCATCCTGGCTCCTCTCAGCTCTTCTCATTCCACCCCCTACTCTAAACTCCTCCAACTCATGGGCTTCCCTTCCCCCAGCCTCTGATTGCTATATAACCCTGCCATTTCAGCCATGCACTCTTTGTGCTCTCTTGGCTTTTGGCTCTCTTGGTCCTCTTAGCTCTTTGCTTGTTGCACTCTCTCTCATTCTCTTTCTCTCTCTCTCTCTCTCTCTCTCTCTCTCTCTCTCTCTCTCTCTCTCTCTCTCTCCCTCTCTCGCTCTCCCTCTCTTCCTCTCTTGCTCTCCCTCTCTCTCTTCTCTCTGTCTACTGGCCATGTTTAGCCTACTACTTTATCTCCAGGCTCTGGCCTTTTCCAGATACCTCCAGAATCTACAATATCTACAATAAAAGCCTTCCCCTCAATCATACCTTGGAGCAGTCATGTCCTCACTTTACACATTTGCTGCTGAAACTCCCACTTTAAACATACTCTCTTTGTTTAGTTTGGTTCGTCTTGGATTTTAAGACAGGGGCTGAATGTGAAGCCCAAACTGGCTTAGAACTCTGATCTTCCTGTCTCTACTTCCACCGTGCTGGGATTACAGGAGGTATATACGCACCATCGTGTGTCCTGTCAGAGGTATTCACATGCAGTCCTGGGAATTAGAAATCTAAAATGAGGCCTGGATAGATGGCTCAGTGGGTATAGCCACTTGCAGCCTGACAATCTGAGTTTGATGAAGTACTACATGGTAGAAGAACACACACACACACACACACACACACACACACACACACACACTGAATAAAAACAAACAAATAAATAAATAAAATTTTTTTAAAATTAAAGAATGACTAAAATGGGTGGGCAAGGGCACATTTCTTCTAGAGGCTTAGGGAGAAGGTTAGGTTAGGGTTACTGGAGTTCCAGATAGTTATGAACTGCTATGTGGGTTCTGAGAATTGAACTCCAGCCTCAGCTTCCTTTTGCCCTCCCTTCTCTTTCCTGTGTGAAATCCTTTGATCACAAGAGGCCCATGTGGATAATGAGGGGGGAGGACCTTCCCATTTCAACATCTATAATCTTATTTGCAAAATTACTTTTGTCGTGTTAGATTCTGGGAGTTCACAGGTTGAGGTTAGGATATGGAGATATGGACATCTTTGAGGGGTGTTTGGCACCATAACAGGAAACTGATTTTGACTGGGGATGGAGCTCAGTGGGTAGTGCTAGCTTAGCATGCACAAAGCCCTGGGTTTTATTCCAGCTCAGAATAAACAAGGTGTGATGGCATCCCGGAACCTGGATGGTGGAGGCAAGAGGATCAAGGCCACCGCCTGCTACATAAGGAGTTCAAGGCCAGCCAGGGTGACTGGAATCCTAGTGGAGGGATTCCAGACACCAGATTTGTGGGACCCTGCTCCCTTAAGTCACTCACACACCAAGTACTGAGGTAGGCCAGATTCCTAAGGGGCCAGCACCCACCCAGCCTGCGGCATTACACCCACTAGTGTTCTTGCTACTCCCACCACCTTGAGGTAGGTAAGCTCACCACACCCCCCATATCCAAATGGGAAACTGGCTTGGGTGATAAAGCAATCCACCCAAGGTTTAAGAGTTTGTACTCAGGCTGGAGAGATGGCTCAGAGGTTAAGAGCACTGACTGCTCTTCCAGAGGTTCTGAGTTCAATTCCCAGCAACCACATGGTGGCTCACAACCATCTATAATGAGATCTGGTGCCCTCTTCCGGCCTGCAGGACATACACGCAGACAGAACATTGTATACATAATAAATAAAATCTTAAAAAAAGAGTTTGTACTCAGGGTTTTTTTTCCACCTACCACCCCGAGGGTGAGGAGGGCAGAGCCTGGCAGGAGGCCTAAGGAAGACCTCCTGCTCTGTGCATCTTCTCAACTGCCCAGTGGGATGCTGGGCAGAACCCTGTCTGTAAATATGGAAATCAGCTGGCCAGAGAATTTCCACCCCGGAGCAGGGAGGGGGCCAACCAGATGAGAGACTATCTCCCAATGAAACATTCCCTCCCTTTCTCCACCCTAGGAGGGGCTTCTGAGAACTCAGCTCAGTGCCCCCCACCCCCCGCAAGGTTCCAGAAGGCCAGGCACGCTGCCACAGACAGGAGCAGGTGGGAAATGGAGGGGAGAATAGGGAAGCAGAGGGGCTGGGGCTGCCAGCTGAGGCCTTACCTTGCTCTCCCAGTGGACCTTGGCCCCAGCGTTGACGAGAAGCTGCACAATCTGCAAGTGGCCGAACCAGGCAGACAGGAGAAGTGCATTCATCCCAAACTAGAGGAGAGGGCATGGGGAGGTGAGGAGAAGCAAAGGAGCGGCTGTGTCCACATGGCCAAACCATTCATCCATAGGTGCCACTCTGTCCAGACAGCCCCAGGCTGTAGGCACTTAAAACACCAGAAGGTTTTGCTGGCTTTTTAAAAAGATTTATTTATTTATTTTGTTTTATATGCATGGGGGTTTTGCCTGTATATGTGAAAGCACACCATATGTGTGTCTGCTGCCAGAGGAGGCCAGAAGAAGGTGACAGTTTCCCTGGAACTGGAGTTACAGATGGTTGTGAGCCACCATGTTCTGGTGGGTTCTGGGAATCAAACTTGGGTCCTCTGCAAGAGTAGCAAGTCCTCCAAACCACTGAGCCATCTCTGCAGGCCCAGTTTTGCTGTTTGTTGTTGTTGTTGTTTTGTTGGTTGGTTGGTTGGTTTTTCAAGACAAGGTTTCTCTATAGCTTTGGAGCTGTCCTGGAACTCACTTTGTAGACCAAGCTGGCTTTGAACTCACAGAGATCCACCTGCCTCTGCCTCCAAGTGCTGAGATTAAAGGCGGGTGCCACCACCACCCAGCTAGTTTTGTTGCTTTTACAACAGAGGCTGATTTACTATTGGAAACTTTCTTTTGCTAGATGAAGCCTAAAATTAAAACAGCTGCCATCTACTCTCATTGCTACTTCAGTAGAAGGACCATTTAAAATAAAATAAAACATTTGGAGGCAACAGATCTCAGGTTTGCTTGGGGGTTTTGTTTGTTTGTTTGTTTTTGTTGTTGTTGTTTCTAGGTAGGTTCACATGTAGCCCAGGCTAGCCTCAAGCTATGTAGCTTGTATTTACTGTACGTGCTTGCAGTGGAGCACGTGTATAGATTGAAAGAGAACCCTGCACTTAGCTCTTTCCTTCTACCTTGTGGCTCCCGAGGACTGAATAATTGAGTTCAGGTTACCGGGCTGTACATACAGCAAGCACCTTTACCACCTAAGCCATCTCATCTGCCATTTAGTTGTTTGTTTATTATTCTGAGATAGGGTCTCTCTGTGTAACAGCCCTGGCTGGGTTAGAACGCACTATGTAGACCAGGTTGGCTTCAAACTCACAAAGATTGTCTGCCTCTGTCTCCTAAATGCTAGGATTAAAGGTGTGTGACACAATACCCATTGTTTTTTTAGTTAGTTTAGTTTAGTTTAAATTTAGTTTGGAGGCTAGGTGTGTAACTCAGTTGGTAAAGATCTTGCCACAGCATGGCTGTGATCCCCAGCACCTCATAAACTGGGTGTGGTGGTGATACCTGTAGTCTCAGCACTTTAGAGCATCCAGGAAGAGGAGACAGCAGGAACAGAAGTTCAAGCTTGGGCTCCCTGAGACCTTCTCTCCATACATACTTTTTCCTTCCTTCCTCCCTCCCTCCCGCCCTATCTTCCTTCCTTTCTTTCCTTCCTTTCTTCCTCCTTTGCCCCCATGCTGAGGATAAAACCCAGGACCTCATGCAAGCTAGACAGTCACTCCACAGCTGAGCCACAACTCTAGTCCAAAGTATCTTTATTTTATTTATTTATTTATTTATTTATTTATTTATTTATTGGTTTTTTGAGACTGGGTTTCTCTTTGTAGCTCTGGATATCCTAGAACTTGCTCTGTAGACCAGACTGGCCTTGGACTCATAGAGATCCACCTGCCTCTGCCTCCCAAGGGTTGGGATTAAAGGTGTGGGCCACCACCACCTGGCTCTAAGTATCCATTTTTAAGAATGTCTGTGTCTCGGGAGGCAGAAGCAGGCGGATCTCTGTGAGTTCCAGGCCAGCCTGGTCTCAAAAAACCAAAAAAAAAAAAAAAAAAAGAATGTCTGTGTCAAATGGCACTGTCAGATTCAGCCCTTCTCCTAAACCTGTGGCAATTCTGTAGATCCTGTCTTTGGGGCTCCCTCCCTTTCAAGCAGAGTGACATCTAGTAATTTGCCCAATCTGTTCCAGGACAGTTTCTTAGCCAGTTCCTGTTCAGGGGCTGAGCAGGGTAGAGCCCCATGATCTATCACAGGAGAGACCCTCTTCTTGGTACTTTCATTAAGCAGGCCATCATTGATCTACATGATTATTTGTTCTATGGCTTATCAGTCTCCCTTATCACATGGTATGGTGAAGGACTATAATGTTCCCTGGGCTGAAAGGCCATTGACAATACAGAGCACTTTCTTCCCCTGTCAGGGAAAATGGAATGGGTCCAGTATCACCAATCCCTAAGACTGACTTGGGCCCAGCCTGTATCTAAGCATCTGCATGTCAGCAGCAAGCTCACCAATGACGACTTGTTCACAGGTCAGACAGAATGAGGACACCCCTGCCCCTGAGACAAGAAGACAGGCAGACACATGCTCATGCGCACACGTGGGCACACACACACACACACACACACACACACACACACACACCACACACCACACACACCTCCCTACCGAGTCCACGTCGTCCACAGCAGCCCCATGCTCCAAGAGCAGCCGCACAGCCTGCTCATGCCCAGCACCTGCAGCCCAGTGCAGGGCCACTCTGCCCACCTGCCAGGAGGAGAGGAAACTTGTCACTCCATCAGGCTGCCTGGCCTGCCCCCAGCACCATCCTATCAAGACAGCTGGCCTGCAGGGAGGAAAGGCTGTTGGTGGCTCTGGTGACCAGCTGGCTGGGGATCCAGCCCTTCTTGGGGTCTCTTTTCCCTGATATGGTACAGCCAAAAAAAATATTATAGGATACACTGACTGGGCCCATCTGTCCCTGCCTGAAACTTCATAGCTCCTCACTGTTCTTGGGGCAAACGCCTGAGCCTGAGCCTACAAGGCCCTGTGTGGCCTGGCACTGCCCCCCATTGCTTCTCAGATGGGACAGATGGTTTCCAGCTCCAAATCTTCCTTCCTACTGGGAAGCCACATGTGATCTAAGACAGCTCTCAATGTCCCCAAGGGAAACAGAGTGTCTGGTTCTTTACTCACAATGAGCAGAAAGGGCCAGACTGTCTGGCTCACTGTCCACCACCCTGGGAGTTCATCCTGGTTTCTGGCCCTCGGTCCATCTGAGCAGGCTGGGCCACCAACCTCCTCTGTATGGTCCACTTCTCTACTGTCTCAGTTCATGAGAGGCAGTAAGGGAAAACACTGCTTGTCACTGTAATCGTGGATGCCAGTTCTCTCTTCTCGGGGCTTCTGGCACACCATTCCCTCTACCTGAAACACTGCCCTTCACCTCACTCCATGGAAGCTTTCTGAGATACCTCCAGGTGGGACAACGGCCCTTGGATTCCTCCCTTTGTTTATGGGACAGTTTATCACCATGGGAATGAGACAGAGTGTTGTCTTTGCTCCCCCACCAGACTCCATGACGGCTGGGACCACTGCTGTCATGGTTTCTGCTCTGTTCTCAGTACCTAGCATATGGTATGCTCTTCATAAATTCTTAGTGAATGAATGAATAAGCCAGTGTTCATGAGAGAATACACTTAATGAATGAATGAATACATCAATGAGTGTGTGTGTAAATATGATTAGTGGATGGGTGGATAGATGGATGAACAAACAGACAAAGCACTACCATCCTACTAGGCCATGCTTCCCTTCAGGTACTTACTTGTTCAGGAACTGAGACCAAAGTTTCAGTCACCAACCACATGCTGTGTGACCTAAAGTGACCTACCTCTGCCCCACTGCACCTGCCTTGAACTATACACAGGGCCAATACTTCCTACTCTCCTCACCTCTCCAGGACTGAATGACAGCCACGAAAAAAAACTGGCTGATGAGTGCTCTGAAAACCAGCACAGCAAACACACTCACAGTTCTTGTTACTATTCCCACACCTCCAAAGTTGGCTCTGAAGATTGAAGAGAGGGGCCACCCTGCATCCAGTGCCTGCTAATCATGCCTTAGGATAGCATCCAAGAAGTTCCTCAGAGACAGAAGTTCTGAGTAAGAGAGGGGCCACCCTGCATGGTAGGTGGGCCTGTCTTCAATGTCCACTTAAAAGATGCAACTTCTTTCTCTATCCTCTTCCCCAGCAGTGCCGTGGACCCTACTTTTCTGCCTGCCTGGCCCCTCGTGGTCCCCAGAATCCTGCCCACATGCACCTCCCCACCTTTGTCTCTTAGATGGGCCTTCCAGATGGGTCACACGGGTTAAAAGTCTGAGGTCTGGACTTGCCAAACCCTGGCTTGGAATCCTGACCCTTAGGCCAGCTCCTGCAACAAAGACAGAGCACGCCCCGCCCCCCCCCCAGCCCATCCTCACCACGGCCCAAGTCCATGCACACAAACAACACACCTCTTCTGGCACAGTGACTTGTCCCACTGGATGGCAGCACCATAGGGTACTCATACTTACATGGTTTCTAGCCCTGACGTTAACCCTCTTCTCAAACAACTCCTTCATCCTCCCCACCTGATTCCAGCGAGAGGCCTCATGGAGCTGTCTCTCCAGGGGAAGCACTGGGGAGAAAGTGGGATTTGGGATGAGAAGAAGGAACCCCACACCGTTAGGGATGCATTTGGGGAAGGATGGAATTCATTCCCGCTGGAGTCAGTGTCCACCTTTGCTAAGAAGACAGTGAGGACTTAGCATGCCACCCAGGGGAAGGCCAGAGGTAGGGTCTCCCATTTTTAGACATTTCTATTCTTCATTTTTCCATCTCTTCCCCCCTTGCCCCTAAATCCTAACCCTTTCACCTTCACAGCAGGGACCCACTCTCCTTTGTCTGGTTGGAAGGCTTCCCCTCTCTGTATTCTCTCTCCTTCCTCAAAGCTCCTCCAGGTAAAGGGAGGAGGCTTGGCTAAAGTGCTTACCTTTATAGGGAAAAGTGACCACAAGAGTTCAGATCCCTAGAGTCCAATTTTTAAAAAGGGATTGGCAAGATGGGTCAGAGGGTAGAGTTACGAAGCCTGATCCCAGGACCTACATGGTAGAAGGAGGACATTTTCTCCTGCAGGCTGCCCTTTGACACTCACATGAGCACCCTGGTACAAGCATACCTACACATCACAGAATAAATAAATAAAAATGTACTTCAAAGATGGGTCAGCAGGCAAAGAGCACTTACTGCTCCTTCAGAAGATCTGAGTTCAGTTCCCAACACCCATGTTGGGCAGCTCACAACTGCCGGTCACTCTAGCTTCAGGGGATCAATGCGCTCTTCCGGCCTCTGCAGGCACCCACCCATGCACACTCTCACACACATACACACAAAAGAAAACAAAGTCTGAAAAAGCGGGAGAGGTAGCGAGGTGGCTGGGATGGTAAAAACATTTGCCACCAAGCCTGACAGCTGGATCTCAATCCCCAAGACCCACATAGTGAAAGGAAAGAACTGACCTGGAACGTTGTCCTCTTGCTACCACAAGCACACCATGAGTGCCTGTGTGCGCGCACGCGCGCGCGCGCGCGCGCGCGCACACACACACACACACACACACACACACACACACCACAAATAAATAAATAAAGATAACTAAGCAAGGCACATGCCTTTAATCCCAGCACTCAGAGGCAGAGGCAGGCAAATGCAGGCAAAACTACAGCCTGGTCTACATAGTGAGCTCCAGGACAGTCAGGAATACACAGTGAGACTATGTCTCAAAAAAAAAAAAAAAAAAAAAAAAAACCAAAAAAATAAAAAAAAAAAACCCCAAAAAAAAAAAAAAATAAAATCCCAATCAATTAAAAAGCAAAACTCTTGACTAGGTGTTGGTTGCAGACACCTCCAGAGCTACACCTCAGGAGGCAGAGGCAGGCGCATCTCTGTGAGTCTGAGGCCAGCCTGGTCTACTAAGTGAGTTCAGGCCAGCCTCCAAAGCCACAGAGAAACCCTGTCTCGAACCCCACCCCCCCAAAAAAAGTAAAAGTCTTAAAAGTAAGTAACACTTATGCTTATTGGAGCCCAGCACCTGTTTCTCATTCATCTGGACAGACAGTAACAGCTGGCTTCCACGTTTTGAACCCATTGGGCAGGATATGGGGATTTGAGCATGCACTCCTGGGTTCAGTGGTCTGGGCTCAGCCTGGGCAGCAAGGCTAAGAATCCTCAGAGGAGGCAATAGTACAGTCCTCTTTCCAAAGGGCTCCCAGGAGAGCTGATGGCCACAGGCATGCCTTCCACACATCTAGGGGGCCTGGGTACATTCTAAAAGATGTTCTGAAGTTCCTTATTCCACTCAGGGCTGGAGCTGACCACAGCACCTCTTTTCTAGGTCCTGCCTCCTCCTTTGATATTGTGTCTACACCCCAATTTTCTGAGCGAACGAGTCTTTAGGTTTTGAGGGGGTTGTTTTGTTTTTGTTTGTTGGTGGTGGTGGTGGCGGTGGTGATGGTGGTGGTGGTTGCCAGGGTTTCATGTAGCCCAGGCTGGCCTTGGACTCCCTATGTAGCCAAGGATGGAAGATGATGTTGAATTCCTGATCCTCCTGACACTACTTCCCCAGTACTAGGATTACAGATGTGCACCACCGTGTCTGATTTTACATGGCTTGTGAGATGGAACCCAAGGCCTTGTGCATATATTAAACAAGCATTCTATCTGCTGAACTGTGCCCCTATCCCGGATTCAGCATCTCTACATGTCTACCGTCATACGGTCATGTGATCTCATCCGGTCCCTCAGCTTTCTCGTCTGATAAATGGAAATGACAGTAGGCCTTGTCCACATGGTCGCAAAGGGAGAAGACGACCGGCCTGACCTGCCTCAAAGCCTGGCACACAAAGCAAGTTATTAACAAGGATCGCTGTCACACCTGACTTGCTGAGTCCCAGGTGTGTGGCCGCTTTGCCCTATGCCTGTGCAGCATTCTTCCAGAGCCACAGAGAAGCCCCGAGATCAAGGAGGCCACGTGAAGGGCCAGCCTCTCCCTGGGCTGCCCTTTGTGAACGCGGGGTCTCCCCACGGCCCTCGGGCCCCCACCGGGTCCACCCGCCCTCGGCACCGGAACTCACAACCGTGGGTCTCCCAAGCCAGCTCCTCCTCCATCCCGCTGCTCCGCTCGTGCAGGGCGCATGGCCGCCGGGGCAAGGAGTACGCGGAGCCAGGAGCGCGCAGAGCAGGGGAGTGGGAGGCAGAGGTTCCGCATCTCTCTGTAGATCCTGCCCGCTGTCTGCGCAGCTGTGAGTCTGATCCGCACACCCATATCCCATCTACAGCTCCCATTCCCGCTGTGCATTTAAGCTGCTCTAGGTCCCCTGCCAGCAATTCCCCTGGGACCTTCTCAGCGTTGATGTCTCTACAGGCCCTCTGTGAAAGGTTCAACACTCTGGACTCTTCAGACCCCACTACCCTACCAAGCCTGCAGACATAAGACAAGTGGTCAAATGTATTCACTATCAGAAAAAAAAAATCAGGTTACAACGACAATGGGGTATCCATCACGCAACTTGGATTGGCCAAAAGACAAAAGCAAACGAGAGGGAGAGAGAGAGAGAGAGAGGAGAGGAGAGGAGAGGAGAGGAGAGGAGAGGAGAGAGAGAGAGAGAGAGAGAGAGAGAGAGAGAGAGAGCTGGACGATGCCAGATGTCAAGGCAGAAAGTACAGCTGTCCCAGCCAGAGTGCTCTGCCGGTGGCAGCAGCCTGAGGCTGGCATTCTGGAATCCAGTCTGGCAGTAAGGGGGGAATACTTCTTAACCAGAAGGAAGAAAAAATAAATCAAAGCTAAACAAAAATCAATAAAATTAACGTTGTAAAAATTCCCCCAGCAAAATGAACCACCCTCTGTGCTGCCTAAGGGTCTAAGAAACTGCTATTCTTTCTGCATGGAACAGATCTTCCAATCCATTCCCCCTCAGCAGGCTAGTTCCTTGTCATTCTTTATGGAGACTAGCTGAAGTGTCATATTCCCAGCGTTAAGTGTGCCACCTACTTTATTTACGTCTCCACTTCACAGTAGCCTTTAATTGCTAGGACATGGTCACAATTTTATAATTCTGTGACTAGACCCACTGCTCCCCACTTTGAGTCCATTTCCCTGTAATTTCACACTTAAAAAGAAAAAAATGTTTTTTTCCTCCTTTGTTTATCATTGTTGTTTGGTTGGTGTATTTTTTGTTTGTTTGTTTGTTTGTTTGAGACTAAATCTAGCTATGTTGTCCAGGTTGGTCTCCAACACATGGGCTCCTGTGATGTCCCGCTCAGCTTCCCTCCAGAATCAATCAATCTCTAACCACCCTGCAAGATCCTGGGATGCTCTGGGGCCACCCATTGTGTTCCCCAGAAGCTCAGAAACACACTAACCAAAGCTTTTGAGCATGGCAGTATTTTGCTCCTTGAATTCTTTCGTTACCCCTCTTCCTTGCTTCTCCTTGTGCTGTTTCGTTCTCTGTTAGATGAACAGAAGGAGAAAAGGGAGGAGGATGAGGGGAAAGTGAAATTCAAATCTAGGAGATGTTAGACTGGCCCACGGTGGGAGACCCGATACAGATGTTTGCAGTTTCACGTGTTCATGTGACGTTTGGACACCGTCTCCAGATGTCTCCGGATTTTAGTCCCACCAGCCCTTGCTGAAAGAGATGCTCTGACTGGTGGCATGTGACCAGAAGATTTATCCAAGCTCAAAAAGACTGCTCAGAATGGTCCTGGGGACCTCTCTCTAGAACAGATAAAGACAAAGGAATGGTTTGGGGTGTTGAGAAGAGGTCTCTCTATGTGGAGGGATGACTTTTGCCCTGTCCTGCTACTTAGAAAAGATCAAATCTGCAGAAAAGATAAACGAATAGTGTCACATATTATCGTTTTTCCATATTGCAGATTTGAGGTTACTTTTAATTTAAAAAATATTTTATGTAAATAAGTATTTTCTCTGCGTGTAGGTATGTATGTGCACCATATGTATGCAGTTCCTGTGGAAGCCAGAGGGATAATACAGATTCCTGCCCATTCCCTACCCCCAAGTGAAGTTAGACAGTCGTGAGCTGCCATGCGGGTGATGGGACTGATGGTCCTGGGTCCTCTGCAAGAGCAGTAAATGCTCTAATTTGCTGAGCCATCTCTCCAGCTCCAGATCTGAGTTTTGTCTTGTTCTTTTGTTTTGGTTTGTTTTTGTTTTTTTTTTCTTTTGGGTTTTTATTTTATTTTATTTTTTGAGACAAGGTTTCTCTGTATTGTCTTGGAATTCCCTCTGTAGACCAGGCTGGCCTCAAACTCATAGAGATCCACCTGTCTCTGCCTCCTGTGTGTTGGGATCAAAGGCGTGCATCACCACAGCCCAACATATTTTTTTTATTATAGAAATTGACAAATGTGCAAAAAAATAGAGAACAAAACATGAACACACACAACCATCACCACACTTCAGCAAGTAACAGCTCAAGGACAACTTCCTTTTTCTCCTCCCAAGTTATCCTAAAGCAGTTTTTTTTAAAGATTTACTTTTATTATTTTTAATTGTGTGTAGATGGATGTGTGTGTGGTTATGTGGATGTAGGACCAGAGAGGTACCACATCCCCCGAGCTGAGTTACGGACAGCTATTCACCAGTTTCCATGGGTGCTGGGAACTGCAAGAGCCCCACTCATCCTTAGCCATCCAGCCCTCTCCCCAGCTCCCAGAACAGTCATTTTTATTTTGTTTTGTTTTATATTTGTTTTTGAGAAAGGGTCTCACTACATCTTGGGCTAGTCTGGAACTCACTATGCCATCCAGGCTGGCCTCAAACTTTTTTTTTCTCCTGCTTCAGTCTCCTAAATTCTGGAATTACAGGCGGCAGATGTGTACCATCATATCCAGAAAATTAATAAGCACTTTTATTTGAAAGCCATTATCTATCTCTATGGACAAAATGTGTTTTAAAAAACAACCCTGGCCCTGGGCAGTGGTGTCACACGCCTTTAATCCCAGTGCTCAGGAGGCAGAGGCAGGAGGACCTCTATGAGTTCAAGGCCAGCCTGGTCTATAGAGTGAGTTCCAGGACAGCCAGAGCTACACAGAGAAACCCTGTCTCAAAAAACAAAACAAACAACAACAACAAAATCTAAGCATGGGGAACTGGAGAGATAGCTCAATGGTTAAGAACACTTGCTGATCTCCCAGAGGGCCTGGATTTGATTCCCAGGACCCACATGGCAGCTCCAGTTCCAGGGGGTCCAATGCCCTCTTCTGACCTCCTCCAGCATCAGGCACACTTGTAGTACACAGACATCCATGCAGGCAATGCATCCATACATAAAATAACAATGATAATAATCACAATACTATTTGCATCAGTAAAAATTATCAACCCTCATTTTTTTGTTTTGTTTTGTTTTTTTCCAGACAGGGTTTCTCTGTGTAGCCCTGGTTGTTCTGGAACTCGTTCTGTAGACCAGGCAGGCCTCAGAGATCCGCCTGCCTCTGCCTCCTAGTGTGCCACCACTACCCAGCAGTCCTCATTCCTCAAGTCAGGAAATATCCACTCCATGTTCATTTTCCCAGCTCTCTTATATGTGCAGATTTACTTGTGTGTATTTTTGTGTGTGCTTCAGTTTATCTGAATAGCATGAAATTCGTTAATCTTTTTTTCCTTAATTAGATTTTGTTCTTTCCTAATTTATTTTTGATATATTTTTAAAACATTTTTATTTGTGTGTGTGTGTGTGTGTGTGTGTGTGTGTGTTTAGTTTTAATTGTGTGTGTGTGTGTGTGTGTGGGTTTGTGTGTGTGTGTACAGGTACCCACAGAGGCCAGAAAGAACGTCAGATCCCTTGGGCTGGACTTACATACAGTCAGTTGTGAGCTTCCTGACATGGGTACTTGGAACTGACCTCAGATCATCTGCATGAGCAGTACTAGCTCTTAACCACAGAGTCATCTTTCCAGCCCCTTAGTTTTTATTTTTAGAACAAGTCTCACGGGATAGCCCAGGCTTCTCTGGAATTCACTATGTGGTCAAGGTTGGCCTCAGATTCACAGCAACCCTCCTGCCTTAACTTCCCTCGTGCTGGATTTACAGGTATGGATTACCATCCTTGGTTCTTTATTTTCTTATGTGTATGAATGCATGGGTACTTGTATGTGGTTCTGGGAACTAAACCTAGGGTCCCCAGGTTTACCTAGGCAAGCACTCTATGTCTATGGCTTCTTAAATTTTTTTATTTTCTTTTCGTTTAAAAAAAATTTATTTTGCCAGGCAGTGATGGCACATGCCTTTAATCCTAGCACTTGGGAGGCAGAGACAGGCGGATCTCAGTAAGTTCAAGGCCAGCTTGGTCTACAGCGAGAGTTCCAGGACAGGTTCCAAAGCAATACAGAGAAACCCTATTTTGAAAAACAATCAAAAAATTAAATTTGAGGTGGTGGTACATACCTTTATCCCCAACACTCAGGAGGCAGAGGCATGTGAATCTCTGTGAGTTCCAGAACAGCCGGGTCTACACAGAGAAACCCTGTCTTGAAAAAAAACCAAAAAAATAAAAATTAAGCGAAAAATTTGTGTGTATGTGTAGGTGTCTGTGTGTGATGTATGTGGGTGACTTTGAAGACCAAATGAGGGAACCAGTAACTGAACTCATATGGTCTACAAGAGCAGTACATGTCTTAACTGCTAAGCCATCTCTTCAGCCCTCCACCTTTACAATTATATTAAAATTATATTAAGTATATATATTTGAGACATCATCTCACTGTGCAGCCCTGGCAGCCCTGGAACTGGCTGTGTAAACCAAACTGGCCTAGAACTCACAGATGTG